ATATATTTTGAAAAACGTTTGGAATCCACTTGTTCTTGGAATTGTTTACGCCAACGGATCACCAGACCGAAATTCTATTAAATCTTAAGATAGCTATCAAAGGTGAACACAACTAAGCTGTGGACCTGAAGTTAATATGATTTTATGAGCTTGCTTTTGAAACTATATGAGCAAACATATTGCATAGAAACTATTTTTTCAAGTTTATCTTATTTCCACCGCTTACAAAGAAACTGTGGATAAATATTTGAAAAATAATTGCGAAACATATTCAAACATATTCAAGCTGAAATGTCTTTTCATACCAGTGAAAGTAGCTCGTATCCTTGATTTGCTGTAGATATGAATCCACGAGCTGTATGTACAGTGACCGGATGTGAATAAGTACAGGGTGTGCCCAACTCAGAAGGACAACTACTACTATRCTGTTGCTAATAGTACCCCTACAAGTAACTTTTTATCGTGACACATTTTTATTACCCCGTACCCCCATAGTATAAGTTTGGATCTCTCCGAACTTTTTCCGAGCATTCAAATCAAGCGAACCGTTAATATCACTTACACACATCACACATCAAATCACACATCACACATCAAATGATGATGGCGTCTGTTTATTGTCTCAGTAAGGAATTAAGCAGTTAAGTTTGCTTGTTCTTGCCCAAATAAGGTCATGCTTTAAGAATTGTTGAAATGTATAAGAAATAAAACGTTTTAGTCATTTTAGACTTTAAATTGCAATACTTTGATTCTTAAGTTCGGCTTTTACGTTGAACAATATTTCATACTGTGATTTATTATTGTGTAGTCTTTCTATGACCGAGGACGTTGATACTGGCGTTACGAAAAGCGAGACGGCTGTGTGAGTTTATACTAGCCCGGGTTGTATCTTGCTAAACTCAATGTAATCTATCAAAATGATTTTTCATCCAGAATGATCGCACTAAAGGTACTACTGGTGCTCGCGTTTGTACAAGAAACTAATTCATGCTGGTGGTTTTGGCGGTGCAATTGTCAAGTCGGCTCCTGGTCATCGTGGTCAAGCTGTTCTAGCGATTGTAACGGCCATCAAAGAAGATACCGGCCTAAAACAAGACATGAAAGAAATGGGGGCAATTGCCCTCACAGTACAACAGAGAGTCGACCATGCAACACGGGAAGATGCCGTAATGGATACTGTAGATATGGCACTTGTCAATGTCAGATGGGCTGGAAGGGCACATATTGTGATGTGGGTGAGTTTGAAATTTCAGTGTTATTAGGATTAAAGGACAGTAAAGCTTTAGCTGACATTATAGGTAGCYAAAGCTAAGTTCATGTGGTGTCATATTGTAAGAAAATGTATGGTGATACTTTCCAAAAAAACCTCAATAACATCGTGAAAATGTGAGGAGTAAAGAAATCTTATCTGACCTTTGAAAAGTAGAACCTCTTTGGCCCTGTGTACTTAGATTTTGGATAAAGCCAGATTTAACGCCAGTTTCATTCAATTTGCCCGTTAGTAGATATGAAATGACAGTTCTGCATCCGGTGCCACCGGTGCGAACCGGTGCTCTCCCCCAGACCCTACTTTCCGGGCCGGTAACAACGGTGACGTATTCTGAATGAGGTACCATTGAGGTA